GCCATGACAGCTCAGGGATGCCTGACAGGGGATTTCCAAAACCCCATGTGAGAAGGCACAGAGGCACAGCAGGTCCACCCTCCTCATTGCTCCCTGATGTCTCATCTGGTCTCCTCCTCTGGGACAGATTAGACCCAGGGACAATATTTATCCCAGCTCTACCCCATAAATGCCTGTCTCCAGCAAGCCCAGAGGGAAGTAGGGATGGGGGTCTTGCTCCCATGGAGGAACCAGTCTAATCTGTGTCTATTACCAACCAGAAAATGATGACTGGACCTTGGGCAATGGCATGGTGCTGGGGAGGGAAGCAGCAAGGCAGCATCATGTCCCCCCTGCTACGCTCAGGTGCTGGGTCACAGAGCAATGAGATTCCCAGTGGTACCTGGCAGGATCCCTGGCTTGCGGTTTTTGGGCTGGTTGCTGGGTTTCTCTGCTTCTCTACATGGCAAGAGCTGGAACAACTCGGAAAACTTCTGCAGGGCCTGTAGGGGTGATTCAGCCAAGCAAGTCCTGTCTGTCAGGTCCTTCTCTTCTTCAGCCACCCCAGAGAAATGCACCCCTATCTCCATCCCACAGATGGGGAGGGGAACAGCAAGGGGGAGGCACCACAGACCACCCCCGCAGCACCAGTCCCAGTGTAGTAGATCCTGGTGGTACCTTGAACTCCTTCTCAAGGACATTGTTGTGCCTTGAGGCCTCAGCTTCTCGAAGGCAGCGGATGTGGCTGGCGATGCTCTCCACTGGGACTCCAGTGGTGCCGCAGAGCAAGCCTTCGAGCAGCACCTCATACAGGAAGGTGTACTGCTCCTGCAGGAGGACACGGGTCAGATGCATGGTCTGGAGCAGCTCCATGAGTTGCCCTGGTACTCAAGACCACCAGCTCTCTGGCATCAACTTGTGCCAGCGATAAGCCAGGTCTATCCTTCATCTTCCTGCTGGGGAGCCCTGAGGTCAGATACCTCCCAGTGCAGGCAACCCAGAGAAGACCATGATCCTGTGATTAAATGCTCCCTCTCAGACCAGACCCCTGCTCTGAGGAAGGAAATCTAGAAAGCCAGTGAACTAGTTAATCCTTCTACAAGCAGCTGGATAGTTCTGCCCAACCTAGTTTCCCCCAAAGGGTCCCAGCACTGAGTAAATCCTGGGGATGTAGTTCCTAGGCCAGGACACTGCTGCCCAGAAGATGCCATAAGGGCAGACATCCTGAAAGCCTGAAGGATGTGAGGACTCTCACTCTTGCTCCTTGCGTACAGGACAGAACTTCTTTACCAGGATGACTAGTGCATCCCGACTAGGTTTGGACATAGCATTGAAAACAAGATCCTGCAGTCCCCATCACCTGGCAGCTCCAGTCCCTGTGGCTAGATCATGAACAGCATAGCCACTGTGGCTTTGCACATCCCATCCCTGAAGATGGTGGGAAGCAGATCTGCAGCCTGACAGTGTGCAGGGAGCAGGTAACTCTCCTCACCTTGGTCTGCACCATGCTGACCCGCTGCTCCCGCAGCCTCTGCACACAGTGAAACACATCCACCTTCCCCTCAGCCTTCCCCATCTTCAGCAAGAAGTCCAGGGCGATGAAGGTACCTGTGCGCCCAATCCCTGCACTGAGAACACAGAAAACTGGGAGTCAATGCTGTCCTGGCCAGCTTTGCCCCAGCACTCAAGCACTCCCAGCCCAGTACCTGCAGTGCACCAGCACGGGTCCAGCAGGCACCTCCAGCCCCTTCTTGTTCACCAGCTCCACTAAGCACAGGAGCTGGGCAGGGTTTCTGGGGACCCCGTGGTCTGGCCACAGCAGGCAGTGAAACTGCTCCACCACTCTTGGGAGAGCACAGCCTGTCTGCAAAGAGGGAGACATGGCTGGGAGCAGGGAGCAGGAACCAACCTGGAAACTTGCATGAAGTAATTGCACACCAACAAGTAGGAAGCAGTGGAGAAAATCACTTCAGGGAGGCACCAGCACAGTGTTACCCCCAGCACACCCACCACAGTGACTGCTCCACTATAGCTCATCAGACTGCAAAGGGCAAATGCACTCAGAACGCAGCCTCACAATTCACTTTGTTCACTGCTTCCCCATGCTGTGAACAGTGAACTCAGAGCAGTAAATGCCACTTGTGCCTCAGAGGAAAAAAAAAAGTCACAGTGCAGAGTGTTTCCATGGACATCAAAAAGCCCTGACTTCCCCAAATAAGGTATTTCCTAAGGCTGGTGCTGCAATGATGTGAATGTAGTCACCTTTGTTACCAGCCAATCATGTATGTTTTCCTAAGTATCATATTCATGTGGTCTGAACTGCTATATCCCACTATCAGGTGCTCTTGGAGCTTTGTCTTTCAGCTAGACTTTGCATTAGGCAAGATAAGAATATGCATAACTGCAATTTCTTTGTATTGTACCTGTTTTCACCTTCTTGCAACTCCTTCAGTTTCTGCTTATTATCTGAGGCATAACTTCCACAGAAGTACTCATATTGAGCAGTGTAATTATGTAAGTTATCTTGAACCACAAACTATCTGTTCAGGTTTCAGAGCTGTAAGTGAGCTTCCATGTGTACTCTCTGCAGATTGGCCCAGGTGACAAGCAGGCACCTGTCCCATCATCCTGGTTGTAGAGAGATGCCATTTTGCACCCTTTAACCACTTCTATACACTTTGTGATCACCTTATCCAAGCCCCTAAAACGTATGATCTGCCCATGTGTATCATCAGTACAGACTCAGCTGGGGTGACCACTGGAGCTGACCAACTGTCTTTGTCTGGGAGACAGAGACCTGAGGCCAATGCCCTGGCATGGCATTCAGTGATAGCAACACTGACCTGCTAGTGCTGGAGACCAGACAGGGCTCCTCATGGCTTCTTTTGGCCAACAGCACCCACCAGCTACTGAAACCCAAAAGCATCCTGCATGCTCACCTCAGCTACACACCAAGCTTACCTTCTGCAGGCGGAAGATGCGTGTGACAAGGCCCGTGGTGGTCCTGGTGTTGTTGAGTGTTACAGTGAAGTCCCCGTAGACCTGCTCCTGCTCTGGCCAATACTGCTCACACTTGGTCTGTCAACAGCAGCGAGATTGCAAAGCACTAGCAAACTCATCAGGGGAGCGTTGCAAGCCAGCAGCAGTGTGGGGCTGCTCTCTGTTCTCATTGATAAGCAAAGACACTGGGAGCAAAGCAAAGCAAAACAGGCAAGGAAGACTGGGCTCTGGGGAGGCCCAAGCTGAGCACAGGCTGCAATGGTTTCTCTACCTTATTCTGCTCCACCAAGCCAGTCAGCATCACAATGACTGAGATCTTCTCCTGCCACACCATCTGCCAGAAATCCACCACCGTCCCAGGCAAGGGGCCTTGGCGAGGAAGAGGAGACCCCTGTGCCACTGTCCAAGCCATAGGGGTGTAGCTGCCCCTAGCACAGCTCAGTCCTTCACCCTGCCCGTGGACTGACACTGCACAGCCTGGACACAGCAGCACCTGGCAGGGGTTGCTGGGCACCTTGGCATCATCACTCGTGTTAGAAACTGGGACAAGGAAGACGGAGGGCAGGTGAGACCAGGATACGTCAGGGATTCACTGCTGCTTCAGGGGCCTCCCCATCTAGCCCCTCAAGGTGGCCTTGAGCTGCTCCCATATCTGCTGCAGCAGCTGTAACCACCATCTGAGATTCAGGCCCAGGAGGTGCAGGGCCTTGGGCTGGGCCATTAGCAGCTCCTAGGCTGCTGTCCCAGTTCCCCACTTCCCAAAATGCTCAGGGCAGCAACTGGCATCTTGTGAACATAAGGGCTGGGAGCACCCACCTTGAGCTGCAATGTAGAAGCGTGGACTCTGGTAGCTCTGTGGGGGAGAGGTTCAAACAGCTCTGATTAAATGGGTTATCGTTTAACAGGAAATGAAATAAAGGCCCCATCCCCATAGGCACCAGAGCTCGCGGCACAGCGTGTCCCACAGCACCACTCCTGGGCAGCAGCAAGAGGGGGTGCCCAGGAGCGCTTGTTCCCTCACACAGATCCCTTTTTGTTAGACATGGGAACTGCACACAAATCCAGAGTATTCCAGGCAGCTCAGAGAGGATGCAGGAAAATCGACATCCCAAAATCCACCAGCACTGGATGGCAGCAAGTGCCAGAACTCAGGGCCACCCCTGTAAGCAGGACTGTCCTCACCCAAACACCTCTCCTCCCCTTTGCAGACACCTCTACCCTGCCCAGGACAGCAATTCTTTGCTACCTACATCTACATAGCTGGCATTAATGTAGTCATTCCCCATGTCAGAAGGCTGCAGCACCACACGGCAGTGGTCATCTGAAAGAGAAGAGTCAGTGAGGGAGTCAGTGGACTGTCTCTTTGGGGCAGCAAGGAAGTGACTGTGTAAGGAGAGGGATGTAATTTAGGGAAGTCTGGGATCATCTGCTCCCTCCTCAGCAGCACCCCAAGCCTCAGGACATGTTAGGAGGTAAAGAACAGCCAATGGGACCAAAGGTGACATGGCACAGCAGGAAATGCAACGTGGTTTTAGGAAAGAACTCTTAATGCAATGGCCAAATGTCCACACCATGTGAGGCCCAAAGGAGCTTTAAGTTTTGATAGAAATTGGGTCTCTCCCTCTGCTTTCCCACAGATAGCCACCTCTGGATGTGACACAGCAGCATTCAGTAATGACTATCAG